ACCACCAGGAGTAATTCCTGAGTGCAGAGCCAAGAATAACCCCTGAGCATCGCTGGGTGTGACCCAAAAAGCAATAAATAAATAAATAAATAAATAAATATAAAACCAAATCTCTGGAGAAAAAAAGGCATGGTAAGGGAGCAACAAATGACCAAAGGCAACAGAACTGGAAAGTTGATCCACAAAACTGAGCTTCCCTAAAGTGAAAGGAGTGAATTGAAGGAGCTTTAGGACGTTGGTGTAAGGAAGCAGGATTTCTGTTGGTGTTGGAATGATGCATACGTGAAACTGTCATTAACAGAATTGTAAACAACTGTGCCTCAATAAAACAGAGAGCAAAAAATAGAAATTGGGACTTTTAACTTGTTACCCACTATTGTAGAAGTGCGGATTCTCCCTTCAATTATATCAGTCATTGCTCTATGAGTTTTGGAACTCTGTTGTTCAGTATATACATGTATATTATTGCTGTATTTACTTGATAAGTGGAAAGCTTTCAATATACAATGCCGTTGTCTTTTGTATCAATTCTGAATTAAAATCTATTCTTTCTACCAAAAAAAATGAAATTGGTGTTGGTTGGACCTGAGCAATAGTACAACAGGCAGAATGTTTGCCTTGCATATGGCCAACTCACCTAACCTTGAGCCTGCAAGGAGTGATTCATGAGATGAGTGCAGAGTCAGGAGAAAGCCCTGAATACCTGGGCTTACTCACCCCTTCGGCGTTTGCCTTACAAGCGGCCAACATGGCCGACCCGAGTTCGATTCCTCCGCCCCTCTCGGAGAGCCCGGCAAGCTACCGAGAGTATTCGATATGCCAGACACAGTAACAACAAAGTCTCCAATGGAGATGTTACTGGGCCCGCTCGAGCAAATCGACGAACAACGGGAGGGCCTTTACCTTTACCTTTTACTCACCCCTTCAAAAAAACTGGTGCTGGTATGCACTAATGATAACACTAAAATACTTGTCAATTAATAATATATTGCAAAATAATGTCGAAGCTTTGACTTTTTAATATTCTACCGTCTGCAAATTCAAACAAAATATACTGCAGCCTTAGCTTACTTCTGTTACCATCAATGAGTACCGACAGGAACAGTGTTCCCAGAGATTAAAAAACCATCAGAGTCCGTTTGTAAAAATAAGTAGAAATAATTTTATTTTGAGTCTTAATCAATATAGAAAACACCATTAATAACAGCAAAGAATGAAAACCACTCACAATACAAGAAAAAAATTCACTGCCAAGTTACTCTGAACTCAACATCCTTTGTGCTTATTTGAAAATATTATTAAAACAACAATTCAAAACAATAGACAAGTCAAAACAAAAAATTTATTATTTAAAACTGACACTCTAGCCAAACTAAGACTATGCAACTTGTGTTCAACCTGGAAAAGTTTGCTTTGCCTATATATTTCATGATAATACTCAGAAGCCTACCATTGGATAAGTAACACTTTCTTTGACAATTGCTTGTGAGTTGGAGTTATAGAACTCCTGCAGATGGCTAGCCTGTCATTTTTAATGACTACTCAGGCAGCCAATCATTCACAGAATTGGAGACTAATGGTATTAGCAGCCACTTAAGCTGAAACTTGTCTACAATATCTATTACCTTTCTATTAGGCATGTAAATTAACTCAAGAGGTCAAATCTCAAACGTTGACAATAAAAGAGGACACTGGTTACCAATAAATTAGAATTGGTGAATCCAACTGCATTTTATTTGTATGTCTACAATGTTGTTTTATAATTAAATTGGAAATGCCTCTGGATAAAAGTGTGAAAATCTCCTGTTAAATAAGCTACAGCGAACAATAAGCCACCTGTCTGAGTTGCTGATATGAAACACACACAAATTTCTTCTAGGAAGAAAAAATGTCACACACTGCAATTTATGTAAAAAAAATAAAGAAATATGTATTTCACTATTAAATGCAGCTTTCCCCTACTACCTGAGCAATAAGATAGTAGAATAAAAATAATTACAGTAAATTCCTAAACAGATCCATTTTAGTCCTTCTATTTGATAGAGGACTAACAAGAATAATAGCAATATTAAAAAACACAAGTGACTTTTTATTTTTAAGGCAGACTGGGGAAAGGCAAAAGGTAGGTTTAAGAGAATATCTGTTGCCAAGAAACCCTTTTGCAAAATCCAAGACATTATTATAAATCTCTTTTCAACTGTACCGTGAGAACCATGCACATCACATATGAAATCTGGACAATTCCTTAGTTAACTCTAAGGTTTCTAGAAAACTTACGGAAAATATTTGTACATTTTGTTCTGATAAGAAAAAAACATAACAAAATATTCAAGATATATAACAATTTTACTTTTTGAAATGGTTATTCTAATTTTTTTCCTTAAATCCAGATATTATAAAGTTGCTAGCCCTCCAATTCTCAACTAGACACTAAGAACAACTTTATGTATGATACTATGGGCTGATTCTCTATAAAACATGCATTTTCCTAAATCTATACCAAGCTAAATTGGTTGAGATTAAACTCTAAGTTTAACCTTTTAGTTTTGAATATAACATGGGATTTAAATCAGCCAATCTTTTAGAAATATGCTTACTTTTCAATAATTTGAATTTTTGGAAATATTTGTATTCCTAGCCCCAAAGATTACATTTTGAGTATGAAAGACTAAAGATAAAACAGAATTGATCCAACAAATGTGACAATGAAATAATTAACACTGGCTCCAACTTCCTAATGAATCCAAGATAAACCCTGTAAGTTGAACTCAGCTCACTTAATTTTTATTTATTTGTTTGGGTGCCATCCCAACAGCACTTAAAGGTTATTCCAGGGATTGAACCCAGTCAGCCTTCCTGCATGGCAAGCGCCCTACTTGCTGTACTATCGGTCTGGCCCTCTTTAATTTTTAAAGCCATTTCTCTTTTCCAGCTTTATAAATAGATGGGAGCCACTCCAGAACAATTACTCATGTTAAAAGTGAAATGATAACCTCTAGTTTCATCCATGTTGCTGCAGATTACATGATATTATTTTTTCTTAGAAGAGCTGCAAAGTCTTCCATTGTGTATAAATACCATGACTTCTCAATCCATTCATCTGTAGTTGGGCATTTAAGTTGTTTCTGTATCTTGGCTATTGTACTAAGTGCAGCGATGAACACAGGTGTGCGTATATTCTTTCTAATGAATGTTCAAGTGCTTATTTATTGTAATTATGTCTTGAAAATTTTTTTCTAAATCTTCTTTTAAGAGCATAAACACTTTCAGTTAAAACAAACAAATCATTCAATTAAAATAAGGTTCATAATTACCTCATGCAGGGAGGGTGTAAGTAGATGAAAGTTATGTAAAGACTACCCCGTCAGATACAATCTGAGTCATATACTAGACCTCAGGAGCTTCATGGTGCTTTGATAAACCAGCACCCACAGTGTACAGAGAGAACCCTGAGGCCCAAGAAGTCATTTGGTTAAGTAACTTGGCTCATCCTGAACTGAGCCTTTGGGGGCAATCATTCTCCCACCTACTAAAAGCTGTCAAGTGCTAAATACAAAAATCCAACAGGAAAAGCAGCATTTAGCCCTGCCAAGGCCATCTTCTTGAGAGTCTACTCTTCATGAGCTAATCAGCAAGAACCCCAAGCACCAAGGATTCCCTAGAATGACACCGCAAGCCTCCAAAGCAGGCCCCTTTTCCATTTCACACCTTCCAGTAACAACAGTAGGGTCTAACTTCAGCAAGGCCTCCACTGTGTTCACTTGAAGCAAGTAAGCATTAGCAAAGGCAAGTATGGTACTCTGGTACTTCAAATGAAACTCTCCAGGTCAAACACAACAAAAGGAAATGCAATCAGGAAATGCCCAACACACACAAACAAGTTCACAGAGAGGGCAGGCTACAAAATCAAAGCAATCTGAGGTATCAAAAAAAGATTAAGTCCAATAGCTCAAGCTTACAAAGTCTAGAATATCATGTCTACCCATTTCATTCAGATGTGGGTATATTTTTCTGAGATGTCTCCTTTATACTTAAAAAGAGCTCCAAACTCATATTCCAACCAATGCCCCTTCAAATGGTCATATAGCTGAACTAGGCCTTTTTTTCCTTAAGATCAACTCTTTTTAATTTCCATTTGATTAGAGAAAAATCAGAATATTTTTAAAAATTAGCAAAATCTAAAATGCCCTACACTGGAACAAAGAAATTCAAATGCTGTGAACAATTAAAATAATAACAAAAATAGCTAAGCCACACACTGATGAATCTCGTTTTAAAAGGGGGCTGGGTACTGTGAGGCCAAAGAGACCACACAGCAAGGGTTAAGGTACACATGCTTTGCATGCACCTGATACCAGCCTGGCCCAGCTCCACAACACGGGATGCAATCTTTGAGGGCCCTAAAAACATCCAGGGTGACTCTGGAGCTTGTGGCACCGAAGGCCCAAGCAAAACTGCATCCTTGGGTCCTGAACTGAACCATCCACCACAAGGGGGAGTGGCCCCCTGGCCCCTGGGCACTGCTTGGTAGCCCCCAGCAGCACAGAAGGAGATGTAGGGCCAAGGAGACAGCTTAGGGGGCGAAAGCATATGCTTTACATGCTGGAGCCCTGGATTTGATCCAAGCACAGCATGGTCTCCCAGCGCGGCTGGGTACAACCCTCCTTTTCTATCCTAGCACTGCCAGGTATAAGCCCCAAAAAGAAAAAGGAAAAAAAAAAAAAGAGCATGTGCAGGAAACTTACCCACCAACCACAAATCATCCTTCATGCTATTTGGACTATTACATTCCTTAATAATATTAAATCTGGCACTTAAATGTATTGCGTATCTCAATTCACAGTGGAATTTCTATAAAGGAAAAGGATCAACCTTTCTAAATAAGCTATAAGGCACTTGGAAGTGAGCAACAGAAGCTGTGTGCACCCAGTGACCGCAGCTCGAAGCCCAGACCAACCAGCCTTCACCGAGATGCCACGGATGCCCAGAAATCTCATCAGCACCGAGGCTCTCTGAAGGCGCCATGGCCTTCCTCAAAGCCAATGTCGGCCTGCAGATCCCAAGCACAGGCCGTGCCTTTCTATTTCTCAAACTTCCACATCTGGTTTTTATCTCCCGAGTCACACGTCCGCAGTTGCACATCGGCGTGGCCCTGAGGTGTCCGAAACGCACTCAGGCACAGCCCCGAGCGCGGGTGGAAAATGGTGCGGTCGGCCCTGAAGTGCCAGATCATGGGCTCGGGAACTGGGGTGCCGTCCTGGGGACAGTTCTGCATCCCCACCATCGTGCGGGACCCCTGCACCTCGGCGCAGAGCTCCGTCACCGAATTGAAGCGGATCTCTTGCTTGGACGTGTACTCGAAGAACTGGTTGCCCCCTTGGCCGTGGCAGCCAAAGAGCGAGAGGTTGGCCCCGGTGGGGTTGTGGCTCGGCGCATTGTAGTCGAGGCACTCGGAGGCGATGCCAATGCTCCGCACGGCCCCGTGCCAGCCGGGCCGGTCCTCAGGCACATGCAGCTCGGAGACGATGTTCCGCAGGTACCACTCGAAGCTCTGGCACTTGAGCGCACGGCGCAGCTCCTGGCGCTGCGAGATGTCTCCGTAGGCCTCGCGGCGGGCGGGCGGGTTGCGGTTGTAGAAGTGCTCCTTGTAGCCGTCCATCCACACCTCGGCAGCGCGCGCCGTGTTCTGCAGGAAGTGGGGGCGCGCGTAGGGCGCCCGGCGCGGGAACACGTGGCCCACGTGCGAGCAGGGGTGGATCTCCAGCTGCCCGCCGCACTGCCACACGCGGAACGACAGCTCCAGGTTCTCGCCGCCCCACACCTCCATGCCCGTGTCGTAGGTGCCCAGGTGGTGGAAGTACTTCTTGCTGACCGCGAACAGGCCCCCGGCCATGGTGGGCGAGCGGATGGGATCGGTCCTCGAGCGGCGCCGCAGCTGCTCGCGCCGGGGCACCGAGCGCCACTGGAACGTCAGGCGCCAATCGAAGCCCCCGATCATGGGCTCGCCCGTCTGCATGTAGTACTCGAACGTGTTCCAGTCGATGGTGTCGATGACCGGGCACACCACGGCCGTCTCGTCCTCGCCGATGCGCTGCAGCAGCGGCTCCAGCCAGCCCGTGTTGCACTCGCAGTGGCAGTCCAGGAAGGTGAGCACGTCGCCCGTGGCGAAGGTGGCGCCGATCAGGCGGGCCCGCACCAGCCCCTCGCGCTTCTTGGTGCGGATCAAGCGCACGCGCTCCAGACGGCTCACGTACGTCTCCAGGCGGGCCTTGAGGTAGACGCGGTCGCTCAGGTCGTCCACCAGGATGACCTCCTTGAGCAAGACGGCGGGCGACGTCTCCAGGACGCTGTGGATGGTGCGCAGCAGCGTGGACCAGGCCTCGTTGTAGAAGGCGATGATCACCGAGGTGGTGGGCAGCCGCGCGTAGTTGAACGTCTGCGCTCGGCACTCGGGCATCCTGCGGTCCTCGATGTGGCGGTGCAAGGAGATGCGGTCGCTCAGGTAGATGTTGATGGCGTAGCGCTCCAGGAGCGCTTGCTGCTGCTTCTCCTCCTCGGGGCCCAGCTGCAGCTTGCTGGCTCGGCCCCACTCGCCCAGGGCGCCCGGGTCGGCCGGGGGTTTCTCATAGAGCGGCCGCGACGGGTCCCACGTCCTGCTACCCGGCTCGGCGGGCGCTCGCAGCCTGCGCTCGGCCCCGCCGCCGGGGTGCCCTCGGGTCGAGGCGGCCCGCAGGGTGGAGACAGATAAGTCCAGCAGGAGGTAGGCCGCCGTGCACAGCGCCAGCAGCAGGCAGCTCTTGCCGGCCCAGGTCCACCTCAAGGCCATGCGGAGCCTGGGGGGCGCGGGCGCAGACGCGGCCGCCCAGAGTCACCCCGCGCGCGGGGCGGGTGAAGCGCTGCAGCCGCCGGGCGCTCAAGTTCCTGCTTCGGGGAAGGGAGCGGACGAGCCGGCGGCTCGGCTCTCCGCAGTCACCGAGCAGGGACGCTCGCCCACCGTGGGGACAGGGTCCCCGTGAGACGCCTCCGGCCTCCAGCCCCTCCGCAACTCGGCGCCCCGCACTTGCTCCAGCTCGGCTCACAACTTTTCACCAACTCCGCGGCCAGCCAGCACCCCACCCTCCCGGGGCGGGCGCGCAAACCCCGCCCCGGCCTCTCCCGCCCCCTGCCGGACGGTGTCCGGGCCAGCAACGCTGCGCCCTGGCGACCCGACAGCCGAGAGGAACGGGGGGCCGCGGGCGGGATCCTCTGCAGGATCCAGCTTCCCTCTCCGGCCGCTCTCCATCCCCAGCACCCGGCTTCGCCCTCGCGGGCACCGGCGCGGGAGGACGCAGCGGCAGGTGGTCCGAGCCGTGAACGCCACATCCCCAAAGACCCGCCAAAACTGGCCCCAGCGCCAGCGCGCCGCGCGCCTTCGGAAACTCACCGAGCTGCCTGCCATTGGGGCTGAAGTCCACCGAGGTGATCGCGGCTTTGTGGCCCTTAAAATAACGCTCCAGGGTGGGGTCCTCCTGCAGGGGAAGGTGTCAAGTTTGGAGAGCGGGTGCAGAGATTCCCCAGGGAGGGGTGCCGCCGGGGAGCCTCCGCGCGGGGCGCAGGGGCTGGCGGGGCGGGAGTTGCGGGGACAGGCGGGGTGCCCAGTCCCCGTCTTCCCGCCGGGCATCCCGGGGCCCCGCGCATCCCGCGCCTCCCGCGCCCCAGCCGCTATCCCGACTTAGGAACTTTGTGGTTGTTTTATTTTCCCCCCAAGCCGCCAGGTGATTCTGACGCAGGCGCTCCAGGGGAACCCTGCGAGGATTCTAGGAACCATGGAGGAGGGGATGGCGGGGTTCAATCTGTTCTGCCCAGGGCTCCGCGGTGCAGGGGAAGAGTGCACCGAATCAGCTCCTGGAGCTGGGTTCGAGAGGATGGCGCCCCGGTACAGGGGGAGAGGGGTTTGCAGCTCCGGAGCTGGCCGCGCGCACCTGCAGCCCCCTCCGGCCGGGCGCGGGCTCTGCCCGGGTTTGGCGGGAGCAGTTCCACGAAGGTGTCCCCCGCATCTGGTCCTTACCGGGGAGGAGGCCATGTGGGGGAGCGGCATGCGCCGGGCTCCCCGCCGGCGGGGGTACCCGGGGAGGGGGAAGGGGGAGGGACCGAGCGGCACGCGGAACCGAGTGCCCACTACTGCGGCGCCTCCCGGTCACTACAACAACGGTGGTCCAGGCCGGCCCGCGCCGCAAGGCGTGACCAGTCGAGTCCCGAGGCCCCGCCGCCGCCGACAGGGCCCGACGCCTCCTGGTCAGACGGGACCGTCCGCCAAAGCCACGTTCGCGCACCTCGAGGCGCACCCCCTGGAAAGAAAGTGTTAGCCCGGGGATGGGCCGGGGGGAGGCCGCTGAGAGCGAGACCCCCGGAATCTGGGATCGATGCGATCCGAGTTCGATTCCTCCTTAAAGAGAGAGGCGCCCGCGGAGTTCTAGCGGGTGGCGCGGCTCAGCGGCGGGGCGGCTTGCTAGCTCCTGGAAGCCAGGGAACTAACCCCGGGGGGGGGGGGGAGGGGGGCGGGGGGCGGGGGGTGACAGGTTTAAATTTAGCCCATCATTGTGTTTTCACACAAAACTGGCGTGATAGAAATGTAGATCCTGAATAAGATGCACAGATGAATGAATGGGCATCACTTAACCGGTTTTTTGTTGTTGTGTTTCTGTTTTCGGGGGAGAGAGGATCCTCCAAGAGGTATTCTGGGGGCTGGCTTGGTTGTGGGGCACTCGGGTCCTGCAGAGTCGAGGACCACCTGGATCGCCCTTGGGGACCTCCAGAACTACACCCAGCAGTGCTCAGAGGACCATGTGGTGCTGCATGGGATCTAACTAGGGTCAGGCGCATTCTTAACAACTGGCCCGTGGGGGAGTGGGGGTGGGGGGAAGAGGAGATAAACTTATTTTTAAAAACTTTTACGTAATAAAAAATTAGGTCAAGCGAAAAGCTAAAAGTACACATCTCTAGGGTGGAGAATAAGACCTGCATGTTATCTAGCTGGGTGTTTCTAATGCCCTAACCTTTCTAATGCTCTTGTAAAAATTAATCTGGGTGTTGTCACTGGGAAAGTCTTGGACCCTCGATAGTCCCGTCTTAGTCTTATCACTAAGCTTACTTTCTCCTGTAACTTCTTTGGGAAGGTGCTGCTTTGGTTTCTCTGTCTCCAAAAAACTCAGAATTTGCATTTCAAGGGGATGTTGTCTTCAAGCCTTTGGGCTACTTCAGGGCTAGACAATTCTTAGTTTTTTTTAATTTCCCATAAAACTCCATACCAGCCTTCCCCATCTATCTGTCTGCAGCAACCCCCCTCCCCCAACTTCACCTTCACCCACTGTAACCTATAAGGGTTACAACACCTATCTTTTCTTATCTACTTCACTGCTTATGCTTTCTAGGCTATCTTCTTGAACTGTGGGTCTTCACTAATGGAATGTGGTGTTACTGGGGAAAAAAAATTGACAGTAGTAAAAGTTTTCTAAATAGAAGCGATAAAAAAAAAAGAATTATTCAAAATTTACTCTGAATCTTAGGTGTTTCTGGTATTGCTGACCTGTGTTGCTTTTCTTCCAGGAAAAGGAACCCCAAGTGAGAAAATTTTATCTCTGCTTCAGAGCAGCACTCATACTGCCACAATTTTTTGGGAGAGAAGGAAACTGTGTCCAGGTTACTCACATGGTGTCTAAAGCCATCCCTACCTCAGGCTTTTATACTTTGTATCAGCTGTACTTTGAAGTTGGTAGAATTCCAGAACCTTGCTCCCCTTTATTAATCACCAATGTTATTCTTATATAGTTTACATATAGCTGTCAAAGATCACATAGAGGGGCCCATTAAGGTTCAGGAGATTGAACCAGGTCTCTTGCTCTTGAATGCAAAGCATGCACATGGCCTTTGAGCTGTCTTTCTAGCCCCTAGATATAGTAATTCTTTGTAACCTCCCCAAATTGTGAATTTACCAATCTGAATGGGAACCTCAATATTTGAAAATCTATAAGCTATCCTCAAATACCAGAAAGCAGGTAACACAAGTCAATACCTTAACTAACTCTTCTTTCTCAGTTTCTCTTCAAATAAGAAACTGCGTTTATCTACTTAATCACCGTGGAGAGAGAGAGAGAGAGAGAGAGAGAGAGAGAGAGAGAGAGAGAGAGAGAGAGAGAGAGAGAGAGAACATTTGTTTTTCAAACTCCAGAATAGTTTCTAAGTTCCCTTCAAAATTTGAAATTTCAGACATAGCACAAAACTGCCACCTACTGTTCACATTCCTATAAACACTAGAAATGAAAATACTTTGTGATCTATTTCCAGGAATTTCAACTATCTGGATACAGTTGCTCCAAAGTGTGGGAGAGTATCAGATCTAAGAAGAGTATCAGATCTGTTTGAATCATTCTAGCATTAGTCTTTTTTGAAACAACGATTTGTTTCCATCATAATTCAGTTTCCAAATGCTCTACATTTTATCTTTTAAGCCCTTGTGACTTCTGTCTCTGTAGTCCTCTTCTGCCTGTCCAAGTATTAGTGTGATACATCACTCTATAGCTCCAAGATTTTTCTGTTTATGTTGCACACTGCCAACAAATACCTAAAAATTAATTGGGTAGCTTGCCAAAAGACCATTACTTTCTAAACCCCACATGACATGTGTGTCCTCAATCAAGCTTTAGATGATTATAATATGCCTAGATGTTTGGAAATATTGAATAAATCATGTTACAGTTCTCCTTTCACACATACTTTGTCAAGATTCGGTCTGAGTTTCAAACCAAGTACTCTCACACCCTTCCTCCGCCAGGCTGACTCTTTGACCACAGCAGACAACGTCATCTTCATACCCATACTTTGGAGCCTTTGCTAGAACTATGCTAGTCTTCGTTGCCAGCCTTCACCCAGGACTGAAGAAGATAACAAAGATCTGTGAAACTTCCCTTCTCCAAATCAGCTCCCTATTCCCATTATAAAAATAAAATTAGGGGCTGGAGCGATAGTACAGTGGGTAGGACATTTGCCTTGTACGTGGCCAACCCGGGTTCGAGCCCTGGCATCTCATGGTCCCCTGAGCACCACTAGGAGTGAGCCCTTAGTTTCGCCAGGTGTGAGTGACCCCAAAAAAGAAAAAAAAATGTCTTTCTTTGGTTTCCTGTTAACAGTTGTTTGTTAACCTTTTTTGGCCATTCCAGAATGATTTTTTCCTATGTTTCCCCCCACACCCCCCACCCCCGTCTTACTGGTTGACCCCTACACTCATGCTATGACCCCCTACCCCCAACCACTCATTTATATGCTTTTTTATCTGTGTCCCTCTTGAAATATGCTGGGGGTGGGGGTGGGGGGTGGGGCATATGGTCTGCAATTGGGAAGCATTACTCTGTGGCAGGTTACTTAAGAGAGACCCTTAGCACTATTTTATATCACTCTGTTATGTCTATGCTTGCAGGGCTAACAGTTCTCATAGTAGTCCAAGGCCCATAGAGACAAGAGGCTGTGTCTTCATCTTGGTATCAGCTGCCACAAGGATCTCTAACAAGGAGGCTCAATAAATATTTTCTGTATTGATTAGGACCTGCAATTCCTCTAGGCAGCTCTGTACTCACTTAAAAAGCTACAAAAGGACCATAATGATGGTCCATACAGTTCAATCTAATCGGAAAGACAAGATTCCACAGGTGAGGGTCAGGTTGGTAGTTCAAAGGTCTAGAAGAGCCAGGGCACATTTTGCATATAGGAAGCCTGGGTTTAAGCCTTGCCTCCTGGCTGAGGGGTGTACCCGGGCACCAGGTTGGGAATAGCTCCTGGGCACCCCCCCACCCCAGTCAACAGAAAGGCTGTTATATATATATATAAATAGGTTCATAATGAGCAAAAAAAAATCAACATATCTGAATACTATTATATTTTCATAATGTCAAATATTCTTTCTTATTTTTATTCTTTTGTGGGTTTTTATTTTTATTGGGGGGGCACATCTGGCAGTTCTCAGGGCAAACTCCTGCTGATGCTCAGGGAACCATATGGGGTATTGGGGTTCAAACCCAAGTTGTGCACAGATGAATCAAGCACAGACAACCCATATACCACGGCTCCAATCAAGACCAAATATTCTTATGGTGGAATTGGTATTTGGACATGTACTTCTCTTAGGAAAATTAGGGAAAGTTTTACTGGGGAGATGGGTAATTTCATAGGGGAAGATGGGCTTTTTTTTTAAAGACTGTAATTTTTGAAATCTATACCTCTTGGAGCAGACTGATGGTCATCTAAAATTTAGCAAACACGTAAATTCCCCCAGAGGAAGCTTCAGACACGGAGACCTTAGTCTCACGTCAGCATTCCTGCTTCGGTCGGTAGGTCTGATGGGGGCTCAATAATTTTCATGTATCACAAGTTCCTGGGTGTGAGGCTGGTGCTATCTGTTGGCACTCCACAGACTAAATCGAAGTTATCCGCAGACTTAAATCAATGCACAAACTAAAAGTAAAGAGACAAAGTAGGGATGTAACAGAAAATGAAATGGTATTTGCCAGAGCTTGGGGTTTCAGTTTGTGAAGGTAAAAAAAATTCTGGAGATAGGTGATGCTGCATGAAAAATATGAATACATTTAAACATGGAAATGTAGATTGAAAGGGGATTAACTTTTTTTTTAAAAAAAGACTTTTGGAAATAAGCAAAAAATACTGAAGAGGGAAAAAAACAGATTTTAACCATCATGTTCATGGCATAAACTGAAGAGGATGGAGAGTACTGTAGAAATGTGGGATTTGGGCACTGAAGGAGAAGTGGCAAGGGAAATGTAAAGAAACGGATAGATGTCCTTACATGTGACATCATGAGAGGAAGGGAGCAGAAAAATCATGAAATTTTACTTTCATTCTTGAATCCATAGTCACTCCGGCAAATGACTTTTCTGCCCCACCCAGAGATGCTGGTAACTCCATTTTTAGAGGTACTAGTTTGGTTTCTTGTTTGGTTTGGTAGCCGTACCCCATGGTGCTCAGAGCAGCAACCAGCTCAGTACTTGAAGGTCCATGTGATGCCAGGGATGGAACTTGGGGCTCTCACATGCGAACCATGCACTGCAGCTCTCTCTGTCATCTCCCTGGCTCTCCTACTTCAATTTTTTAAATTTAAAAATAATGTAGCTATTACTGCCGCTGAACAAAAATATAATGGTAGTCATTCACTATTTCTATAGTCTAGCCCATGTGCTG